GTTTTTGGACCCTGACCCTGCGGATCTGCGTGAGGGGTGGCACCGAATTTCAGAAATGTGGCAAATCCCATGTGTTTTTGGACCCTGACCCCGCGGATCTGCGTGAGGGGTGGCACCGAATTTCAGAAATGTGGCACATCCCCTGTGTTTTTGGACCCTGACCCCGCGGATCTGCGTAAGGGGTGGCGCCGAATTTCAGAAATGTGGCAAATTCTTGTGTTTTTGGACCCTGACCCCGCGGATCTGCGTGAGGGTCGGCACCGAATTTCAGAAATGTGGCAAATCCCATGTGTTTTTAGACCCTGACCCCGCGGATCTGCATGAGGGGTGGCACCGAATTTCAGAAATGTGGCAAATCCGTTGTGTTTTTGGATCTGACCCCGCGGATCTGGGTGAGGGGTGGCACCGAATTTCAGAAATGTAGCAAATCCACTGTGTTTTTGGACCCTGACCCCGCGGATCTGCGTGAGAGGTGTCGATTTCGAGCCCCCCCAGCAATTCAGACAACGCGCCCAGGAGACGCTAAAAATCTGGTTTGGGCCTCCCCCCCCCTCGCGCGGTCAATCAACTAGTTACAGTAACCTGCAAGAAGCAGAACTGTAACACTGGAAACTACAAGCTACAACTGGTACAGGAAACTGCGAACCCGCGCCTACAGCCTGGTGGCCCCACAAGGGGGCCGGCGGATTAGTCGTCAAAAAGATCAATCATACTCACACTATTTGTCATACTATTAAGAAGATCAGGAGGAGGAGGAGGAGGAGGAGGAGGAGGAGGAGGAGGAGGAGGAGGAGGAGGAGGAGGAGGAGGAGGAGGAGGAGGAGGATGAAGAGGAGGAGGAGGAGGAGGAGGAGGAGGAGGAGGAGGGGAGGAGGAGGAGGATAGGAGGAGAGGAGGAGGAGGATGAGGAGGAAGAGGAGGAGAGGAGGAGGAGGAGGAGGAGGAGGAGGAGGAGGAGGAGAGGAGAAGGAGGAGGAGGAGGATGCGGAGGCGGAGGAGGAGGAGGAGGAGGTGGAGGCGGAGGCGGAGGAGGAGGAGGAGGAGGCGGAGGAGGATGAGGAGGAGGGAGGATGAGGAGGAGGAGGAGGAGGGAGGAGGGAGGAGGGAGGGAGGGAGGGAGGAGGAGGGAGGGAGGAAGGAAGGAAAGAAGGAAGGAGGGAGGGAGGAGGGAGGGAGGAGGAGGAGGAGGAGGCGGAGGAGGAGGAGCAGGAGGAGGGGGAGGAGGGGAGGAGGAGGAGGAGGAGGAGGAGGAGGAGGAGGAGGAGGAGGAGGAGGAGGAGGAGGAGGAGGCGGAGGAGGAGGAGGAGGAGGAGGAGGAGATTGAGGAGTAGGAGGAGGAGGAGGGGGAGGTGGAAAGGGAGGACGGAGGAGCAGAAGGACGCACGAGGACGGAGGGGGAGAATGATGAGGTTGTCTGGGTGAGGGGAGGAGGGCGCAGGAGGATAGAGGATGACGCAGGAGGATGGACGGAAGAGTGTCATGTTTGGATGGCTGTGGCAGCTGAGGCCCTTCTGCCCCTTCCGCTCCGCGTTCTGCGCCGACGGCGGCGTGAACGCGGAGATGGGGGAGCTGTCGGAGAGGGCCCCGCGCTCGGCCCCTTGGCCCTCACGGGCCAGGCCCCTTGGCACCGACTCCGCGGGTACGGGGCGGTGTGTTCGCGGATGCGCCGCGCGGCAGCCCTCGTCTTCGCTGGCTCTTCGCGTGGCTCTTGCGGCGATGCGCGCCGGGCCCCGCAGGGCGACCTCGCCCCCCCCACCCAGTCCCCGAGCTCGCTCCAAATCTAGCTGACCGCTCGGAAATCGAAGAAGAACAAACGGCATAAACATACATTTTCGGCGCTCCGCGCGGAGTTCTTTGATCCGCGCAGGGCCCCACCAGCGGCGCCTCTGGCGCCGCCCTTGGCGCGCTGGTCCGGCGCAGATTCAAGAAATCCGCGAGGAGCGCCAAACGTTGATGTTTATGCCGTTTTTCCTTCTTCTAGGAAAAGAAGTTTGATCCGGGTAAGCACCCTGGAGAGGGGGCTGTGTTCTTTCGGAGGGCACCAACCATACATTCAAACCGATCCTTGCCAGGCCGATCCTGGGCCCAGTGTGATCCTGGTCGGGATCGGTGTAGGTGTATAATTGGCCTCTTTCCGTAGAAGGTGACATCTACATCGACATAACGTGTGGGAGCTCCGCGCAGATTTGCTGAATCTGCGCTGGGCCCTCCTGGCGGTGCTTCCGGCGGCGCCCCTGGCGCGCTCGGCGCGCCTGGGAGGAGTGCCCAGCGCGGGTCCAAGAAATCGGCGCGGAGCTCTGAAATGGTACGTTTGTGCCAGTTTGCTTCTTCTGCGGTTTGCCGTTGGGAAGTTGGTATTTCTGGCTTTCTGGACCCAGATACACCTTAGGCGCCTTCCGGTTGATGAGACGAGCAGTTTTTTCTCTTCCCTCCTCGTCGGTTGGTCAGGGCGGGGGGGGGCGGAATCCGAATCTGCTTTCACCGCTTGACTAACTCCATGCTTCTGCCCACCCACTTCTTCTGACCGATGGGTCACGAGGATGAGCGCCCCCCCCTCGCCATCGTAAATCACATCGCTTCTTGCTCTTGTTGGTGAGGCCCCCCCCCCCCCGCGAGGGTCGGGGGTCCAGAGGTCCGATGCTGCTGTTTTCAAGGCCCGACCCTTTTCCGCTGTCGCAGGCCTAGAGGTTGACACCAACACCAAGATCGGGGGTGTGCCTCCACCGAGGGAGGACGATGCCGATCTCGGCGATGGCGGTCATGTTCTGGCTTCCGAGGTGGCCGAACTATTGCCACCGACACCGAAATCCGGGATCATCTTCCCCATGTGGAGGCAGCCCCCTGTGCTGGCGCTGGTGCCAATTTTCACAATTTTCAGGCCTCCGACACTGGGCCGCCTGTTCCTCCCCGGCCGCTCCGCGACGGTCCGGAGGGGCCCGGCCAGGGCCCGCCGGGAAGCCGACGTGACATCAAGGGCTCAAGTCGGGCCTGTCCCTCCACAGGAGGAAGATTCAACATTGGGCAAAGCATAGTCTGGGGACGCTTTTGGGAGCATTTGTGGACCATTGTTTGGGGCATTCTCGGAGTAGTTTTAAACTTTTCGTCCAACATCCCCCTGCACAGTCGGGCCGTTGAAGAAGGAACTCGTTTCGTTGGGGAGGGGCTCGGTTTTCCTTGATTTTGTTTGCAGTTCTTCTTGGGTCTTCTGTGGGAAGTCGAAGTTGCACTTCTGGAGAAGAGGGGCCGGACGAAAGGGGGGGATTGGGAAAGGGGGGGTTACGAAATCTGCTGCATGCAGCTGGTTTCGGCCCCACCGAGGGGCACATTCCTCGATACATGGCCGCCTCCGGCGCCGGGCGGCGCCGGGAGAATCAGCTGCGTGAGCTGCTTCTCACCCCCCCCCCTTTGCTATCCCCCCCTTTCGCCCAGCCCGAGAGAAAAGGGGCCTCGTTCCCCCCCCCTCCTCTCCTCCTCCCTCCTCCTCCTCCTCCTCCTCCTCCTCCTCCTCCTCCTCCTCCTCCTCCTCCTCCTCCTCCTCCTCCTCTTATCTGGGGTTCCTTTCTGGCAGCGCTTCGACTGCAGGGGGGACAGGCCCGACGGACCACCGGGCCGCCCGTATCGCTCCCGCGGGCCGCCTCTGCGGCGCTCCGGCGCGGGGGGGCCCGGCTGGGGCCCGGCGCCGGGGAGGCCGGCGTCTCCGGAGGAGAATGAGCACACAGACACAATTCAGCGTCGATGCCCTAGAAAAAGTGCGGGGAAAGTCTGGGAAGTGGGGGGGGTGGGGGGAGGGCAAAAACCCAGAACATGCGGGAAAGATGGGAAGTGGGGGGGGGGAAGACAACAACTCAGAAAATACGGGACAATATGGGAAGTGGGGGGGGAGGACAACACCTCAGAAAATACGGGACAATATGGGAAGTGGGGGGGGAAGACGAAAACCCGGAAGATACGGGAAAGTATGGGAAGTGGTGGGGGGAGACAAGAACCCAGGAAATACGGGAAAATATGGGAAGGGGGGGGGGGGAAGACCAAAAGCCCAGAAAATAGGGGAAAATATGGGGAGCATGTGTATTTGTGGGTATTTCTCTGTGTGTCCCAGGGCCCCTTCAGACGTGGCCTCAGGGGCGGGAGGGTGTCCGCCCGCGGAGGGCGTGATGATGTTCCAATCTGCTTTGGCCTCGGTCACCAGAGAGAGCTTCGAGCACCAGACACAAAGTAGAGAACCTCGAGGGCTTTCGCGCGCCGGGCCCTGGGAGACGCTCGTCCCGACGCCGTCTCGACACGCTTTCTCGACACTTCTTTCCCGGCGCTCTTCTCGGGGTGCTCGACGTGCTTTCTGGGGTGTGGTCCTGAAGGACGGTGGGAGCAGCAGGAGGCGAGGGCTCCAGGAAGCCGACGTAAAGGCGGGAGGGTGTCCGCCGGCGAAGGGCGGGCGGGAGGCGGGCGGGAGGCGGCGGGGGCCGGCGCGGGACGTCCACGAGTCGGGGGTCCACGGCTGCCGGAATCGGCTTCTCTGACGGGCCTGCTTTTCCACCACCACCACCATGAGTTGGAGGTGGAGGGCGAGGAGGAGGAGGAGGAGGAGGAGGAGGGGAAGGAGGAGGAGGAGGAGGAGGAGGAGGAGGAGGAGGAGGAGGAGGAGGAGGAGGAGGAGGGGAAGGAGGAGGAGGAGAACCCCCTCCCCCTCCAACTTGGTGCTGGCGGTGGTGGAGAACAGGCCCATCATTCTCGGCGGCGAGCGAGGGGGGGAACGATCAGAATGGGTGCGGAAAGGATGGGCACGCAGACCGACAGAAGTGCCTGCTCCTTTTGAACTGGGCCCGCTGTCCGCGCCGCCGCGGGCGCTGTCCCTCGAAGACACGAAGCCGCTCGCCCGACAGCGGCCGTTGTCGATTTTGGGCAACACTTGCTGTTGGGCACTGTGCCCACTCTCTTTGTGCCCATTCCCGTCGCCCCAAGGGGGGGGGGAAGCGATAAGGGGCGGGCCTTCGCAGAAGTCTCGGAAGTACCCCGGCCTTCCGAGGAGTCTTCGAAGCCCTCCCCGAAGACTCGGGCCGCCTCTCAGAAGGCCCGAGGGCTTCTGAGAAGTCCCGCCGCCTGCTGGGAGGGCCCTCTCGCTCGCCGCCGAGCCTCTGTCCCACCGTCCTCCTCCTCCTCCTCCTCCTCCTCCTCCTCCTCCTCCTCCTTCCCTCCTCCTCCTCCTCCTCCTCCTCCTCCTCCTCCTCCCCTCCTCTCCTCCTCCTCCTCCTCACTCCTCCTCCTCCTCCGCTCCCCCCCTCCCCCATCTCCTCCCCCCCCCCCATCCCCCATCTCCTCCTCCTCCCCTCCTCCTCATCCTCCTCCTCCTCCTCCTCCTCGTCCTCCTCCTTCTCCTCCTCCTCCTCCTCCCTCTCCTCCTCCTCCTCCTCCTCGCCTTCTTCCTACTTCTCCTTCCTCCTCCTCGGGTCGCCTACGGCCCCGGGGGGGAACGGTGCACCGCAGGCCTCTCCGTCGGCCGCTCGGCAGCTGGCGCTCCGAGGCCGCGGTCACCTTCCGGGAGTTCGCGCCCGTGTCCCTCGAGATCCAGATGGGCAAGGTGCCGGACCCGAAGGTGGCGCACGGACTCGGGGAAGCGTAAGGTTATGTCGGGCCTGTCCCCCTCCAGGGGGATTTTCGACGAAGAATAAAACATACCCCCAAAAGGCCCCCAAAAGGTCAAACAATATTCAAAAAATAGGCCCCAGACTGTTTTTGGATCATTGTTTGATTATTTTTGGGGTATCTTTTTTTTGTTCGTGGAAAACCCCCCTGTAGGGGGACACGCCCGACGTAAATGTAAGGCTCGAGTAAACAGGAGCTCGGGTTTGCCGACGTTGTTTTGACGAGCGCAACCTGGATGTTGACGCTCCGGTTTTTTTGGGGGGTGTCTGCAGCGGGAGCTCGCGCCGAATTTCCGATGGGGTCTCGTCTTTTTTCATGATGGCCCCGCCAGACCGACTCGAGTCCCCCGTACCCGAGTCTTGAGTCTCTTTGACAGAGCCGCACGCAGCGCAGCTCGGGTGTTGCCAGGAGCGGTCTCGGCCCAGGGTGCCCCCGTTGGTTTCCAGGGAGGCCCTCACGGCCTCCAGAGCACCCCTCAAGGGGCCTAGCTGGGGCGCTCTGGGATGCTTCGGGGTCTTCTCTGAGGGCCGTCTTGGGCCATCTCGAGAACATCTGAGCCCCCGAGGCCCACTGGAAGGCGAAAGGGCGAGATTGCCACACCTATGTCAGTTTGAATGATTTGGGTCGCTTGTGTACATTCTTCGGAGGCTCTTGGGCCACTTCGTGCCATCTCGCGTCCACCTGGGGCCTCGCAGTACGGAATCCTGGAGGTAAGCTGGGATTACCTGGGGTAGTCTTTGAGCTATCCTGGACCACGTGCTACCAGGGGGATCCAGACCCTTTGGGGATGGGATCGAGGGAGTGATCATAAAGGGTTCGGGTTCTAGTGGACGTGCAAAAACGACCACACAGGAGACCCACACGGGACACGTTTCGCTGGAGATTTCCTGACAATGCATGCAGAAATCGTGAACTCGTCTCAGTTCCAGCTACTTTGGGGGTCTGGACAGCCACGCTCCCTGTTAAAAAAACGTATCGGCGCACATGGCTGTATTCCCACCCCTATCCCCAACAGCCGACCTCTTTTGTTTCGATTCGTCTCTTCACCTTTGTTGCTGGTTTTCGGATGCTTTGGTGGGGTAATTTTGACAGGGCTGGCGCCCTAAACCACCTGCGCCCATTGGGCCATGAGGCTGGTGAGTTAGCGGGTGGATTCAGCAGTCGCTGCCATATGCAGGCGCGCTGCCGCGCATATCCTCCACCGCGTTGCCAGGGGAGTCCAGTTAAGACGCTGAAATAAGGACCACTTTGGGCTCAGGAAAGGCCTTTGTTTTTGGGCGGTTCTGTAGATCCAGGTCGGGTACCTGTTCGTGGCCGAGGTTTGTCGTGTCCAGGAGAGCCACTCCGTGCGTCGTTCAGCCTTCCAGATGGACGAACGAAAACTGCAGGGGGAACGGCAGGATTGTCGGTGCCCCTGATCTTGACCACTTCCGAGCGCATCTCCCCTGGGGGATGACGAGCATGGGGAAGCTGAGGGTTGCAGGAGGTGGTGATCACGGGGAGGGAGGACGAGGACGTGGGCGAGGCCCGGGACTGCCCCGGGGCTTCTGTTTTGCTGCCAGGTGGTCAAGCCCTTCCTGGAGAAGCTGAGCGAGACGAACGAGCTCTGGAAGGTGGCACTGGGCCGGATGCGGCTGAGTGAAGACTTTCAGGCCGCGGCAGGGGCGCCTCAGCGCAGCACGCGACGTCGGCCCGCATCCTCCCCTCTCCATGCTCGGGCCTGAGGCGGCCGCGGGGCGAGGTCGCCAGGCGGCCTCGGAGCTGCGCTGGCTCTGCCCACAGTTCTGCCATGCTTCTTTGCTCAACTGGCGCTTCTCCGGTGCCCACTCTTGCGCACAGGCCTTGCACGTCCGATTCTGAGCGTGCGTTGACCCTCTTGCGCGTCGCGCCCGTCTGTGGCTGCCCGGGCGAGCAGGCGGTTCCAGCTCGCGCAGTTCTCGACGATATGGGGCAGTGGGGGCACAGCCAAAGCTCCATTATCACCTCATGTGAGGAAGGACGCGGCCCAATTGTTTCGTATGGATCCTGCTCAGGAGGTGTAGTAGTGTGTTTGTCTGGTGCGGGTTGAATCTGGTGCGGGTTGAAGATCGACCCCAGACGGCACCATCCGAGGAGCCCGACCGCGCGTTGTTCTCAACCGCAGCTTGCGCCACATGTGGGTACAATCACGGCGGCTTCACAAGTTGAATTCCGGCGGTCCAAGCGCCCACAGACAGCTCCCAGACAGGGTGTTGCTAGAAGTACCTCTGGCCCAAGGTCCCCCTAGATTCTCGGGGTGGCCCAGACGGCCTCCGGGGCACCCCTCACGAGGCCCAGAGGGCCCCAGGGGGCTCCAGAGTGGAGCGGAAAGCTGGGGACACCCTGGGCCAGGGGCACTTCTCGCAACACCCGGCCAGAGAGGCGTGGCTCTGGACACGGGCTCCAGAGGACGGCTTCCCCATCTCCCGTCCCGTGCAGAGCACCGTGGCCGCCCGACGTGCGTCGTGTGTTTGGGTGGCACTTCGGCCCGGCGCGGCGAGGCCCGGGAGTTCTTCAAGCTGATGGAGAAGCAGAGGTGGGCGCCTTTTCTGATTGCATGTCAACCCATCGGTCGTTGGCAGTACACATTTTTTACACACATATATATATATATACATATATATATATATATATACATATTCACAAGACTGCAGTGGCGCTTCGCGCCATGCACCTTTATCCTTGAAGTTTGGTGTGCAGGCGGAATGGCAGGAAGGTCAAGCCGACAATGCAGCGATGATTCCTTGTTGCCTTTTCCAGCGTCGCCGCGAAAACATGTTTTTCGTTATCCTTCCTGCATGCTTCGTTTTCTGCATTCTCGCCATACCCTGCGCATTTTCCCCGTCCTCCTCAGCTCTTTTTGCGCAGGCTCCTCCTTGGAGAGCCTCTGGGGGCCTCTCAAAAGTTTCAGGCTTTCTTAAGGCCTTCTGGAGGCCTCCTGGGTGTGTTCTGGAGGTTCTGGGGGCTTCCTCGGGCCACCCTGCCTCCAACCGTGGTCTCCCTGAACGACCGTTTCACGATTTGGAATGCTTCGGAGGTTGTCTTGGGGCCGTCTTGGGCCGCCATGGGAATCTCTTAGGGCCAACTTTGACCCCTTGGACTGCCTGGAAGCCCTTTCGGATTGTTGTGGGGCGGCTTCGGACGCCCAGAAGACTGCCGTATTGGAGCGTCGGGAAGCCGAAAAGAGGAGAAACCCCAAAGTCACCAACAAACCAGCAGAACATCAATGATGTTTGCCTCTTGGGGCCTTCTTGGGAGTGCTCTTGGAGGCTTTTTGAGGCCTTTGGGGCCGTCCTGGAGGCCTCTTGAGCCATCTTGAGGTCACGTCGCCCGCCCGGGTCACGTCGCCCTCGCCTCGCCCTCGCATCTTGAGGTCGTGGGGGGGTTTCCCCCGCCCGGGCTTATAAAAATATAGGAAAAGGAATATCGTGGGAGCTCTAGATTCCAATCTGCTTTAGGCGCCTTCCTACTTCAGTGATCGGATGGCTTCACCGGTTCCGTCCTCTTTAGGGGGCGGGCGGACGCCCAAGCTATCTTCAACGCTTCCCTACTTCATGTTTCTGCTTGCTTCTTACGACCGATGGGTACTACCAGCTGCCCGCTGTTCCTCTCCGTGCGACTCTAGGCCTCCCACATTGGTTCCGAGCAGATGAGGTCGGAGGACCGCGCCGCATCGCCGACGCGTCGGCGATGCGGCTCGGTGTGGAGCCCGATCTTCTCCACGCCGACGGCGCCGATGCATCGCCGACGTCGCCCATGCATCGCGAAAGCATGGGTGATGCATCGGCGATGAGGCGCGATCCTCCGGCCCAGTCTACTCGAACCGCATGTGGAAAGGCTCAAACCGACTGAGTCTCGGGCTGGAATGTCTGACTCTGGTGCACGCCCCAGTCAGCGCATGGCTCAGACTCGACCCACAGTCTGTCGACAAACGCAGCCTCTGGCGGCGGGACCCCGGCTATCGTCGAAGCTTGCAATTTCGCTGGCACATCGGACGGCGAACGACCGCGCCCTTTTACTTTTACCTGCCGCAGGTAGGTAACATTCCGCTTGTGCCCCTGTAACCTTGAGTGCCCTCCTCTAGGGTTAAGTCAAAGATAGTCAAGAAATCGTCAGGATAAGTTTTTTTCAAGTACTTCTGAGTATGTTTTGAACATGTTTGACTATTTTTTATTTGTCGTCCAAACTCCCCCTATCGGGGGACATGCTCGACCTAAGCTTATGCCCCTGTCGCCATGAGTGCCCTCCTCTGGGGGTTCAGGCATGGCCGAGGCAGAGCACGGGGATTCCGCAAGAGCGCCCGTCGCAGAGCCTCGGGCACCAGGCGCTGACCTCCGTGGCTGCGAGATGGAGGCCTGCAGCGCACATATGCTGCGGCACTGTGGCTCCTCCTCTCTTCGTCCTCCTCTTCCCCCTCGCCCCCAGGGAAGGGCGGGGGGGAAGGGGGGAGGAGCAGGCAGGCTCGCCCCCCCCAGGGAAGGGGCGAGCCCCCTTTCCTGGGGGCTCGCCCTCCTCGCCCCCAGGGAAGGGCGGAGGTTAGCAGGCAGGGCGGGGGGGGGGGAAGGGAGAAGCATCGCATCCACACTCGCTCGCGGGAGCCTCTGGGCTCTGGCCACACCGAACGTGGCGCAGTGCCTGCCGACAGCGCGGCACAACTGGTGAACGAGCAGGCCTGACGCTTCGCTCGCTGTGATTTTGGACCATCGTCGCACGGATGGGCTCGCGTGCCGCTCATGAGACACAGGCTTCCAGCGGCATGCCGCTGGAGAACATGCAGGAGTCTCCTTCTTGTTTGTATGTTCGCATGCTTGGGGCGGCCACCCAGGTGATAATTGTGGCAGGGGCAGGCGGTCGGGGAACTTTTTGGTTAGCGAGTCACGCCGCCGGTTCTGGCCCTTCGCGCTTGGGCACGACACGCTATCAACGTTCCTGTTCCCAAGCATCAATGTCCCGAGCTTTTCCCAGCCTCCCGCCCCGCGGAGCTGATCGACACGCTATCCTCTCGCAGGGCATAGCGTGTCGCCGGGGCCGCCGCCGCGACACGCTAAGCGAAAATTCTGGACTGTATCAGTTGCTCTAGTCTGCGCGGCCATGCGAGGCCGAGGATACGGTGGTGCGTGGAGGCAGACGGTATCAGATCAGAACCATGTCGTGCAATCCCCTGGCAGCGTCAGGCAGCCCACTCCCTCTCCTGTTCCCCCGCTCCCTTCTCCTCCTCCTCCGTCCCCTCTTGAACCTGTTCTTGCACAGGGAGCGTCCAGTGTACCGCTTCCGTGGCAGTCGGGCCGAGATTGACAAAACTGGCGAGCCCTCAGGGGGTTCCATGCAAGCGAGCACAGACGGCGGCAGCCTGGCCGGTCATGCTCAGTGAGAGCCTCGTCAGATGTCTCAGGACTCTTTGCGCGCGGCGAGAACCAGCAGGCGCAAACTCCACGTGCGGTGCCGACCGCCTTGGCGCGGCTGCGTTGCATCCATCGAAGCAGAAAGCATGGCACACACACACACACACACGCACACGAACTTTCAGAGCTCCGCGAGACTTTCTCTCGGATCCGCGCTGTGCTCCCCGAGGCGGCGCCTCCTGGCGCCGCCATGGGCGCGCTCCGCGCGCCAGGGAGGGGTGGGGGAGGTCCAGCGCCGATCCAGGAACTCCGCGCAGCGTTCCGAGGGTGTGTGTCTTCTTGCCGCTGCTGGTCTTGATCTCATCGCTTCGCTCGTTCCGCCGGCCCGTAGTGCGCCATCGCAGGCGCCTGCCCGCGCGTTCGGCCTCTTGGGGCCTCTTGGGGGCCCCGTGGGGCCTCCAGGGGGCGTCCCAGGGGCTCTCTGGGGCCTTGGCATCGCTCGTACGTGTGCATCTTTCCTTCGGCGAGGACCATCGAGGAGCATCCTTGATCATTTGGCGAAAAAGCCACGCACGAAACCAAAAGAAACACAGGAAATGGACGTCCGAGCGATGGCCAGGGGCGGCCTCTTGGGGCCCGGCCTCCTGGTCTTTTTCCTGGTGGCCCCTGCGGGTTTTTGTCCCGAGATTCGTTGGGGCTCTTGCTCGCCTTGAGAAAATCAAGCGGTGGCGAAGCGTCCTGGCTCGCCTACAGCCCTACCAAGCAATGTTCTAAGAACCTGTTGTGGTTTTCGCGAAATGTTCTTAGCACATGTCTGGTTGACATTGTCTCGTTTTGACACATCGGGTTTATGTTCTAAGAACAGTGCTTTGGTTCTTAGAGCATTTGTGGGTTCTAAGAACATTTCGTGGTAGGGCTATAGGAAGGCCGGGACTGTCGGTCCCTGCTCAAGGCTGGGCGGAAGCCGCCCACGTCACGTCCGACAGAGGCCGGGGCAGGGAGCGCTTCGAGCAGGAGATCGACTTCGGAACCGATGGACTCCTGAATTGGTTTTCTCGTCGCATGGCTCTAGGCATATCCAGAGTGCTCCGTAGAGCTGCAGAGCATTCCGAGTATCTTGCTCGCAGGTGCGGCGGAGGAGCTAGTTTCGGGGTAAGTCAAGCCTGCAATCAATGTCCTATTCGAGCGCTTGGGCGGCGAGGGGGGCAACGAATGGAGAGGGGTGGGGGGTGGGGGGGGGGAAAGGTGCCCTCCTCGGGCCCGGAAGGTCCCCTCGTGTGCCGTAAAGGGCCTCATTCTGGGGCCCTTAGGTGGCTATTCCGGGGCCCTGGAGGGCCCCGTCTCTGGAGCCCTCGCTGCACTCCCCCCTTGATCGCCCCCCACACTGATCGCGGCTCAAGGTGTGCACGTGTCAGTTCCATCCGCGGAGTTCCTGGTGCCTGGAACAGCCCCCATCCAGAGTCAGAGCCCACATGGACGTCGAGCTGGCGGGCCTGCTTT